GCGGTATACACCATTCCTCTAAGCTGAAGTTCAAGGGGTGCTTTAGATTTTCTGACTGTGTTTTTGGCCCCCGCCTTGCTGGTGGCCTGTGCATGTGCTCAGGCTCCCTCCTGGGGCCTCCAGCCCTACTCACAGGTCCCACCTTGGTAGCTCCAGGTCCAGTGCTCCTCTTTCACCCCCACTAGACCTCCCCCCTCTTTTCCAGCCCTAAACCCCTACCCCGCAGAAGAACCAGCTGCATTTTCCCTAAGACAGTTCAAGGCCTGGCCTCCTCCCTCAACCCAAAACACAGAAATCATAACTACAATGTATTGGCTACTTCCTGCCAGTACTGCGGTGGACACTTTTTATCACTTGAAAGTCACGGTATGAGACACACGTTATCATCTTCTTCAAATGGGCTAATCTACTTGCTCAGGGTCACGGCCTCTATTCATATTTCCCTCCCCCTTGGATACTGAGGATTTACCACTGAGGGATACCCCCAGTCCTTTTTATGTTTTTATTGTGAGAACAGGGTCTCCCTCAAACTGGCTGGCCTCAAACTTGCGATCCTCCCGTCTCAGCCTCTTAAGCCACTGGGATTAAGGCATGCACTACCACACCTGGCTCAATTAGGATTTTTAGCCAAGGAAATCCTTTGGCTGAAGTTCAGAGAAATCCCAGAGCTAGGCTCAGCATAGCGGTGGGAGACAGGGAGGCAGGGGAAACAAAGCAGAGTGAAAAATCACCTGTATGCCTCGTCCAGGGAGGGTACGGTGACACTGTACTGATCCCTGTCCTCATTTGCCCCTGGACACTGGCCTCACTCTGGCGCCTTTGCTAAGGTAAATACCCCACTGATCCCCTTCCTGGGATCCTGGGTACCTGGTTCAAAGGTTAGGGTGGGGTCTCCTGGGTGGCTGGGCCGGGGCCGTGTGCTCACAGCCTGTTTCAGGTGACACAGGAGGATGTGCATTTGAACTTTTCCAGTTTTAGGGTGGAAGGCAGCACTGCCCCTTCCTAGGACCTCTTCTCCAAACAGAAAAGTGGATGAAGAAGGTGGACAAGCGCCAACCCAAACCCACAGACCAAGCCCAACACGCCCGGTGCCCACACAGGTAACAGGTGCCCATGGGTTTCCCTGGCAGCTCTGTTGACACAACGTGAGGGTTCAAGGACAAGGCTGTGCAGTCATTCTGTAAAAACCCTTCCTTTCCAAAGAGAAGCTCCTCCCTGTTGAAGTTCATCATTTCCTCCGAGTTCTTGACTCCACGTCCTTCTTCTTCTCTTGGACTTTCAAAACCTCCATCCACAAACCCCTCACTGAGGTTTTCAGTGTCTCTGAACGTTTAGATTTATACCGCGATGTCTTTCCCTCAGCCTAGGGGTTACTTACAAGTCCCATGTCTTTTCAAATCCACTTCCTCCGGACCTGCTCCAGGCTCCTTTGGAGAGTGCTCTGAGTTCGAGTCCTGCCCGTGGGTGTGGCTCTGGCTCCTCACGCCATCTCTGAAGGCCACAGCTTCTTCCTTTGTCACATATACCTCCTTGTGAGGGAACAGCCCCCCAAAAGGAAGCGAAGTTGATGATATTATAAACATCAGTTCCATCCACCCCTGGGTGGGAATGACCAGGGATGGTCAGTGGACACAAGGGATATTCGGGGTGGGGATGATGGAAATGTTCTAAAGTTAGACTGTTGCCATGGTGGTACCATTCTGTAAATTTACCCAAAATAATTGAACTTACATTTAATGAGGAGATTTTATCATATGTAAATAATACTTCACTAAAAATGTTATAGAGAAATGAAGGCCACTGACGATTATTTCTCTGATCTAGCCCCCTCCTCAATGCTGCGGAAACTTCTTAAATCCTTCTCAGCAAGAATCTTTCCAACTGGCCTCCTCACTTGGTGGGTCCCAGTTGAAAAGTCATCATTAAAAGCTTTACATTTGGGAGCCATCAAGACCTGGGTTCAGATCCTGGGTTCCCCCTTATTATTACCTGAGCCAGATATTTGCCCTTAAGGATTTTTGTTTTCTTACCAGTGCAGAGGAAAAACCTAGGAGGGGGAGGAAATGAGAATGACAGGGACGAAACACCGGTCACCAAGCCCAGCAGAGGGTCAGTGCCCAGCAGCTGAGACAGGGCTTCTTCCACAGCCTGGTGGGAGGCCCTGGGAGTTTCCAGCGGTCGGTGACGGGTTTTCTTCTCTCACATCCTTTATGTGTGCCCCCTCCCAACCCCTCTCAGGCCTTGTCATTTCATCCTGGGGACTTGAAATACCTTCCTGACTAATCTTCCCTCCCTTGCCTCTGCCCCAGGGATTATCTTCAATGTGGGTCGTCAGATTTTTATAAATATATAAGTAATCCGAACATGCCATCAGGGTCCTCTCTAAAGAAATCTTATAACACCCCATCACTTATGAGATGGACCTTTGAGCCCCCGAGCATGGCTTTAAGTCCCCATGTGATGATCTGGTTATGCAATCTCACCTCCTCCTATGTCTCCCCTCCTATGTCTCCCCTCCTGGCTCAAACCTTCACAATCACAGCTATTGGCTGACCATTTCTTCCATCCTTTTCCATGGAAATCTGCTTTCCTTTTTTCCTGCTCTTCATCTCTCCTGGAAATCCCTTGAAATCCCTTGAGCAGGTCCCCGCACCCAACTGAGTCTCGATTTTGTCACATGCACGTTGGGGTGAACCACATCCACTTCTCAGCTCTGGTCTGAAGATAATACTGATGGTCAACGATGATGACAATAATAACGAGAATCCAAAACAATTATAAGAGTGGTTAATAATTATTCCGCACCTCTCTTGTGCTGGGGACTTGGCTAAGCAATTGACAGAAATGACCCCAGTTAATTAAATTAGGTGCAGTTATGACTTGTTTTTAATTACAGGAGGATCAGAACATTTAACTTCCTCAAGGTCTCCAGGTAGCGAGAGTCAGGGCCGAGCACAGTCTAAGTCTGTGCTAAACCAAACCTGTGCTTCAAGCCTGGCATGCAGCAAGTATTTAATGGATTTTCTTCTTCCCTTATCCACCTTCATAGTCTCTAGTTTAGTTCTGCCCAAAATATGCCCCCTTATCCAGATTCTCCAGACACTTGGCTGGAGGGACACAGTCCACGTGTCCTCTCTCTCTCTCTGTTTTTGTGGTGCTGGGGACGGAACCCAGGGCCCTGAACATGCTGGACAAACGCTCCACCACTCCGCCACACCCCCATCCCACGTATTCTCTGACAGGACTGGGGTTGTGTCCCCATTATGTCACTTTTTACTCAGTCTAAGTTATTTATTGTCTACAATTATTTACTGCAATGATGGACATTTAGTATTTATTATCTACTCATATTTGTTATGTGATTAAATATTATTTTATATTTCATGTCAGGAATGTCAGAGAAGGCTCTCTCTTCCCTGGTGTCGGACCTCCCATCCTGATTGGGCAGCCCCTGAACTAGCCATCATTGTCCAGAATAAAGAGAACATGTCCAACAGGTAGGTGTGCTGGGAATGAGCTCTGGCCATTGGACTGGGGTGGAAACAATGTGTACCACCTCGGAATGGTGTCCCTAAAGAAAACACTGTTACACTTTGTTTCCTTCTCTCCCTCCTTCCTGATGGCTGAAATGGGGACTTGATGGTAGGAACTGGAATAGCCCTTGGGTCATCAAATGAAGCTGCTTATTGAAGATGGACCATGAAGTCAAAAGGAGCCTAGCTCCCTGCTCGATTGCGAAGCCGCTACAATCGAGTGCACACACAGACTTTTACATGAAAGAGAAATCACTGGATGTATTTTGGCACCATTGTTTGGGAGCAATATCTGTTAAGACAGCTGAATTAATACCTCACTACACCAGGTGATGTTGTGGATACTAGGATTATAAGCTGTATCAGTCCATTTTGTTATAACAAAACACCCAAGGCTGTGTATTTTGTAAAGAAAAGAGGTTAATTTATCTTGTATTTTGGAGGTGGAAATTCCAAGATCAGGCAGCTCCATATGTTCCACCCTTGGTCTCATGATAGATGGTATTCTGATGGTAGAGTACACGAGGAAGAGATCACACGGCAATGGGAGAGGCCAGAGAGATTTAGGGGTCAAGCTCACTTTTTTTTTTATAACAATCCACTCTCTGGGAACTAACGAGGGTCCCTTGAGATCTCTTCTAAGGGTGATGGTACCCCATGACCTAACTACCTTGCACCAGGCTCTACCTCTTAAATATTCTACCACTTCTCAGCCCAGCCGTACTGGGCATCAAGCTTCCAGCATGTGAAGATTTCAGGGAACACACTCAGATCACATCCCCCTCACTCAAGCCAGGTTTCGGATTCTAATGAGAGAAACAAAGGTTAACCATGTAAAGCAAATAAAACCACCCAGGCAAATCCAGGCAGGTCACAAACAAGCTATTGTGAACCAGAACAACGAAGGGTGTGAGTACCGTCTTCTAGGGTGACCAGTGAAAGCCTCTCCAAAGGGGTGACATTGAGATGAGATCAAATGACTAGCAGGAGCCATCCGTGGGAAGATCAGAGGAAGAACTTTATATGGACCACAAGTGACAAACCCCGTACCCCTGAACTGGAAATGAGATTGGCAAGTTCAAGGTCCAGGAAGACATGGACACCTATGTCCTTCTGTTAGAGAGCTGGGTAAGTCTTTTTTCAAATTAAATGTTTCTTGACGTATATTCGTATATCAATTAGTCAATGGATTCCTCCGTGGGTCTCGAAAGGCCAGATGGCTTTAATTCACCTGCCTCCTCACCCCTCCTGGCACGGTGCTGGCCTGAGTCCCACGCTCTTATTTGTGATGTGCTGAGACATCTGCTACACACTGTCCTTTGGCCCGGCTGACCGCGGACAGATTCCCTCCTGTTCTGATTCACTGCCCGCGGCCCTGATGATATAAAGAGTCTCATCTCTGCTGCAGAGAGCTCCGTCTGTGTCCCCCGCAGCTCAGCCACCACCTTCTCCCGGGGCCTGACAGCCATGAAGCTGCTTCTCCTGTTCCTGTCCATCTTTCTGGCTGTGGAACCCGTGATGTCAGGTAACTGGGGCTCTCTCGAGGGCCTGGGATCTTGGGCATGGGCTTGTCCCCTTTTGCTCTCTTCTCACTGTGGGCAGCCCCCGAGTCTCTCCTCATTTCCTGGCGCTTTGGGAGGGTTTCCCAGGATCCTCTGGTGTTCACATCTCCCCACGATGCTCTCTTGCTGAATGGGGGGATGAGAGCTGTTTAGAGCATCAGGTACTTCAAGGCAGGATGGCCTTCTGGTAGGAGCTGGGGATACAGCTGAGGCTGGAAGGTGCAGGTCGGGGGCTCTGGGAGATTAGGATGAAGGTTGGGGGTGAGTCCCGGTAAGGGAGACCTGTGGGCTTGCAGTGGCAAAGGGAATATTAGGATGACCTGGAAGAGGGGGCCTGGGATTTCCCCATGGTCTGGGGGAGTTGGAGAGGGGATGGATTTTGGCTTGAGTGGCGCTGGTGCTGGGCATCTGGCTGGGCTTGACCTGAGGCTGGGAGTCAGTGCCCCAGGGTGCAGGGTGCTTGGGTTTGGCTTGGTGATGGGCATCTGCTGGGAGTTGCGGTTGGTGGCTTGATTAGATTTGGGTGTGCTTTGCAGCTGGGGCTCAGTGGGCACTGAGCAGGGTAAGGCTGGGTGTCGACTGCATTTGAGTTTGAACTGGGTGAATCTGGGCTCAGAAGGATTGGACATTGGGTTGTGGCTGGAGCTGAGTTTTGCTGGGCTCTGTTACAGGGCCAGGCTGTGGATGAGGAGCTGGGATTGCTTCATGTGAGAGCATCTCCATCCCCGAGTGTCAGAGGTGGACATTGTCCTGTTCCCAACGTTCCCTTCATTTGTATCAACTGATCCCTAAGTAAGAAGTAGGAAGTTAGGGGTCGGGGGACCCAGGGTGGGAAGTCTGGAAACTGTCCTCCTGAAAGCTCTGGAGTTCCCAGTTGGAATCATCGCTCAGTTCCTTCCTCTCCCAAGGTCTCCTCTCCCCCTTCCTGGGAGCAGATCCAGCAGGGCTTACTCAGCCCTCTCTCTGGCCTTCTCCCCCTCCCTCGGTTCCTCCTCCACCTCGGTCTCTCTCTTAGCAATACTAACATCTGCTTCCTGGTTGTTCCCGTGCCCAGAAGCGGAGTGTTGGCGTCACGGACACTGCCGGTTGGTGTGCAATGATGACGAGGATCATGTCTTAGGCTGTGCAAATCGCAAACGGTGCTGTGTCCCTAGTCGCTATGTGACAATGAAACCAATAACGATCGATTACGTCCTTGACTGGACCACGCCAACCGTGCCCACAACCGTCCCCACGACCGTCCGTAAAAGGAAGAAAAACAAAAAACACGGCCAGGGGTGATTTTGCTTCAGACTTCTTAGTTTCCACGCTTCATTAAAACTCACACATGGGCTGCTTGTGTCTGTCAGTCAAAAGGAGGGGTCCCCCAAACGGATGGAGGCAGGGGAAATGGCAGGAAGGGGCGGGAGTTAGGATAGAGAGTCATCAGGGCTGGGTCAGAGCAAATGGTGATGATCGTAGCTTTGAAGATGGTTCCTTATCTGGTGGCCCCAGGAGGGGGTGTAGCATCAGGTGTGGGAGAGGGCAAGAGATTTAAAGGCACCTCAGGTGTCTGTAAAGTGGGACAACCCTCAGGCGGGAAGAGTTGGTCCACCTTGGAGGGGAGAGGGGAGGAGGTAGTCAGGGGCTAGGTGGAGCCCCAATCCTTGGGTTTCTAGGAATGTCAGCTCAGAGGCCTTGGGGATGCTCAAGAGTTCGCAGCCCCAGGGGTTAGAAGGTTCCCAAGTACTAAAAAATGATAAAGTACCTGAATTTACTCATTTACATATGAATTTATTCATTATTCAATTTTTAAAAATATTCTTCCATGCATTTACTTGCTCATTCGTTCAGGTGAGGTCTGCCACTCAGCACTAGCAGACGGTGTATCCAACCCTCTCACAATTTCAGTTTCCCCAAAGGGAGGTTAGAATAATGATCCGTCTCAGGGTCATGGTAGGGATGACACGGGGTCATGTACAAGGACCCATGCATCACGAGTCCTCGAAAAATGCTAGCTGTTGCCATCGTTCCTTGATTTATTTAGGCATTCACGGAACACGTGCTGACTGCTCTTCAACTGCTGTTAGACTGGGGGAGGCAGAGCCCATCTCATTTGAATGGATAATTTAGCCCCAGGGAGACTCACTCAGGGGGAATACTTAAGAATCCTGACTGGGAACCTAGCAGACCTGGTGTCTTCCCAGATGTTATTATCTCAGATTCTATGATCAGGGCCTCATTTATCCACACGGTTGTTCCCTGCTGGCCGACGTTGGGACCTGGAGTGCTCTGAAACATGGGACATGACCTAGAGACAGAGAGAAGAAATTCTCTCTGATGTAGGAAGATCATTTGCCTTTAGTTCAATATTTCTATTCTTAGACCCTGGAAAGAAAAACCCCTCCTCTGATCCTGGTCCTATCCTGGGCTTCCAAATGAGGTCCTCCCAGTGGGATGGGGACCTATTGGGGCAAGAGGGGCACGTCCACCCACTTCTGGACTGGGCTTCAAGCGCCTGCAGAACTCTTGTGCCTGCTTCCAGGGGCAGCAAGAGCCTGTTCCCAAGGTGCAGCCCAGGCAAGGGAATGCCACTTGCACTCCTGTTTGCAGGGGCCCTGGGAGTGACCAGCAGGCCTGCTAAGGAGGCCGAAGCTCAATTCAGCGTCTGCTGTGTATATTAAATCTGTTGGGACATAGGGCCCTTGTGTGCCAAATGCCAAGTTTAAGGCCTGCAAATCCCAGGTGCTGACAACTGTTTGTGGAATGAGTGAAAGATCCTTGAATACCGGGTTCAGAAGTTTGGCTTTGACACTGAAGAAACCCAGGACCATGACCTCAGCTGTCACCAACCAATGCAGCCGGGGCCTAACATGCAGACAGGAAGCACTGTGCATTAGAAAGAATATGGGCTTTGTGTACAGGAGTCCTTGCTCTGCTTCTAAGAGCTGTGGAGCCTTTGCCAGAACATTGCCTCTCTCTGAGTCTTGATTTCATAATGCAAGAAAATAAAATGAAGAAATGTGCTTCATAAGGTTGTTGGAGGGATTCAATGAGTTGGCATAGATCCAGTGGCTCATAGTAGATGCTCAGTAAATGGTAATGGTCATTATTTCAATTTTCTTTTGGATGAAGGATCATTTGTGTTTTGGAGGACTCAACCCCAAGGGGGGCATAATAATAATGTTAATGGCTAACATTTCTCCAGTGTCTACTGCAGAGCAGGAACCTCGTCTCTGTTTCTTCCATGGGCTCAGTCTCACCCTAGAATCTCTGGCTATCACTAAGGGACTATGGTCTGTCTAAATTCATTGAATACTCTCTCTCTCCTGTGCTGGGGATTGAGTGGGGGGTCTTGTACAAAGCGCTCTACCACTGAGCTACACTTCCAGCCTTCACGGGAATCTTTTCAAACTGTGTTCATAATTGAAGTCTAGGAAAAAATGAATCTTCCAGGAAAGACCCTTCATCTCATAACAAGAACAACAATAACACGTCACACTGGCTTAGTTCTTACTCTGTGCTAGTCCCTAATTGCTTTCCATTTACTGTCATTAATACTTATGGTTCTAGGACTTAAATACTATTATAGTTTACATGGTAGAGACGAGAAAAGGGTAAGAGAGAGAGAGGGACAGAAATAGATTTGCAGGAAGTTGCAAGAGAGAGAGATCCTGTATGCCCTTTGCCCAGTTTCCTCTTATAGTTCTATTTTATGTAACTACAATAAAACCCAAGAATCTGATATTGGTACAATGTGTGTATAAATTTCTATGCTATTTTGTCACAGGTGCACCCCTCCCCCACCCCGGGCCCCATGATCAAGACACGGGACTTCCCATACGCCTTTGTAGTCGCACTGACTTTACTCCCTGGTCCTGCCACCAAATTTAACTCCTGATAACTATGAATTTCTCCTCCTCCCTCCTCCTCCTCATTCCCCTCTCTCCACCCCCCACTTCTTCTCCTTCTGCTTCTTTTCCTTTCTGTGCTGGGGTTCAACAGGACCAGCACATGCCTAGAATGTGGTGTACCACTGAGCTAAACCTCCAGCCCCTCTTTACAGTTTCATCTTTTTAAGGCTGTTGTAAAATAGAATCATATGTGAACTTCTGAGATTTTTTTTAATGCAACAAACTGTATCAAATTTGTTCCTTTGACTTCTGAGAAATTCTAGACAGTGTACTAAAGCAAAAAAGAAAATAAAAGGCATAGAGATTAGGAAAAAAAGAAATAAAACTGTCTTGCCCAGTGTGGTGGCACATACTTGTAATCTCAGCTACTTGAGAAGGGGTAAATGACCAACGGTAATTGGTTTTTGAATTTAGCAATGTAGAGTTTATTGGTGATTTTGACAAAATCATTTTCTGTGGGGAAAAACCTGAACAGTAGGATGGTGAGTTCAGAGGCCAGCCCAAGCAACTTTGTGAGACCCTGTCTCGTACAAGGTATGAAAAAGCAAAGGGGCCGGGGATGTAGCTCAGTGGTAGAGCACCTGCCCAGCATGCACAAGGCCCTGGGTTCCATCCCCAGCACCACCCCCAAACAAACAAACAAACAAAAGGAGCAAGAGAAAGAAATAAAAAAGAAATAACACTGTTTCTTTTGTAGATATCATCATGGTTTGTGTAGAAAGACTCAAGGAATCTACAAAAATGAAAATATGTAGAACTAATAATTCAGCAAGGTAGCGGGATACAAGATAAACATATGAAAATCAATTGTATTTCTGTATCATAGCAATGAACATGTGGACACTGAAATTAGAAATACAATACCATTATATACAATACACAAATACAATACATCACTCCAGAAAAATAAAATTTTTAGATGTATATTGGAAAAAAAAGTGTGCAGAAAAACCACAGAACTCTGACAAAAGAAATAAAGAAAGATCAAAATAAACGAAGAGATAGTGTTTATCTGTTGTAAGATTCAACTAACAAACATGTCCATTCTCCTTAAATTGGTACATACATTTATCATAATTCCTATCACATTTCCAGTAATATTTTTTTTATAGACATAGACAAGATTATTCAATTATTTTGTCTGAGGATAAATTTGCAAAGGAATGAGAATAACTAAAATAAAGTTGAAAAAGATTAAAGTTGCAAGAATCATTCTACCAGATTTCAAGATTTACTATATGTGTAGTACTCAAGGCTGTGGTATTGTTGGGGAGACGGGCACATGGATCAATGGAACAGAACAGGGAACCCAGAAATCCAGAGGCAGTCCCAACGCTAGTATTGCCAACTGATTTTTAGAAATGTTTTTATTAGTGCATTATAGTTGCACATAATAGTCGTGTTCTTTTTGACATAATCACACATACATGGAATATAACTGGCTCCATTTCAGTCCCCTGTGTCCCTCCCCCCCTTCCCTTCCTCCACTCTATTGGTCTTCTTTCTATTTATTTGTAGGGTTTTTTTTGTTTGTTTTTGTTTTTTAAAGTTTTGGTGCTTGCTAAGTGAAATAAGCCAGACTCAGAAAGTCAAGGGTTGGATGTTTTCTCTCATATTTGGAGACTAGAGGAAAATAAGGGGAAAAGTGGGGGATTCCATGAACCGAGGGCTAATTAGGAAGGAGAGGAAGAGGTTAGAGGGGAGGGAGGAGGGACGGGAAAAAGGAGGAACTGAATGAATGAAACTGACCAAATTATATGAATACACCACAGTGCATTTCACCTGTATGTGTATCTATAAAGCAACAAATAATTTTTTGATAAAGATACATAAGTAACTCAATGGAAGAAAGTTTTTTTTTTTAAACTAATGGCACAGGAGTAATTGGACATCTACAGGTGAAAACCCCCCCAAAAAATATAGGGGAAAAAAAGAAAATAAAGAACCTTGCCTTGACATAAACTTTGTCTGACACCTTATATAAAAATGAACTCAAAATGGATTGTAGCTTTGGGGCTGGGGATGTGGCTCAAGCGGTAGAGCGCTCGCCTGGCATGCGTGCGGCCTGGGTTCCATTCTCAGCACCACATACAAACAAAGATGTTGTGTCCACCAATAACTAAAAAATAAATATTAAAAAAATGGATTGTAGCTTTTAGCATAAAATACAAAATTATATAACTTCTAGAAGAATACATGGGGAAAAAAATCTTCAGATTTAGGTCTTGGTGAGGAGTTCTTAGATACAAAAAAGCACAATCTATAAAATAAAAAACAATAATAAATTTGACTTACAATTTAAAGCCTTCATTCTACAAAAGACCTCATGAAAAGATAAATTACATTTGGGTGAGAATATTGGCAAACTGCGTATTTGACAATGAATTTATACTAGACTTCAGAGACAGTTCTCAAAATGAACAGTTAAAAAAATCTAATAATAAAATGGACAAAAAACATGAAAAGTCATGTCACTGAAAAGGTTATACAGATGGCAAATTAGCATATGGAAAGATGTTCAACCTCATTAACCATTAGGGAAATGCAAATTAAGACTAGGAACAGATTCTACTACGTAACTATAAAACAGCGAAAATTAAAAACAGTGATAATACCAAATGCCATCAGGTTTACAGAGAAACTGTGTCTCTCATACAGTTCTGGTAATAATGTTAAATGGTCCAGCACTCTGGAAAATAGTCTAGCTGTTTCTCATTTTTTGAAAGTGCTGGGGATTGAATCCAGGGCTTCGTGTGTGCTAGGTAAATGCTCTACCACTGAGCCACATCCTGAGCCCCTTGCCATTTCTTAAAAAAATAAAATAAACTCTGATCATACTACTTGATGAACATAATCTAGGGCATTTATTTTTTAAAAAATGAAAATTTACATCCACACCAAAGCTGGTAGGTGAATGTTCATAGCAGTTTTATTTTTTACTAGTAAAAACCTGGAGGCTAGGAGAGGGTACCTTGGAGGAACAGTTGCTTGCCCAGCAGGCATAAGACCCTGGACTCAAGCCTTGCACTGCTAACAAACAAACAGACAAACAACAAACAAAAGCAAAATGAAACAACCAATCAAAACGCCCCTCTGTAATAAACTTGCACCGTGCATACTATGGAGTATTACTGAGAATTAAAAGGGGTGAACTAGTGGTAGACAGCTTGGAGGGAGCCCCAGTTTGGTCGATTGTCTTTTGTCCATTCTAGTTGAGATGCTCCTGGTTTTTAGTAGAATGAATAATTTCTGATGGAAATCTGGACACCTTGGGTATGAGGCTCTGGGATTCTGGGTCCTATTCCAAGGATCCGTGCTGTGCTAGCCTGCCTGCTCTGTCACTGCTGTGGCCAGGCGAGCAGGACAGCCTCCATTATTCCAGGAGGGATAGAAGTCCAGTGTCTGCACCCGGCTTCCTCTGACACGGAGGTAGGTGGGGTGAGGTGGCTCCTCATTACTGCAGGCTGCCACCGCCAGTTCCAGCTCCCAGGTGTGCCTCCTCTGACACCACCCTGGTTCCCCACGTGGCCTGCCTGTGACATCACAGGGGCTGGTGGCCCTGTAACTGTTGCCTGATGCAAGACAGGATGCCCTCTTCCCACTTGGCAGGGGAAGTTGAGACTCCCACATGATTTCTGTTGACACAGGTGGTGGTCGAGGTTACTGCACAGCAGGGGTCAAGGTCCAGGCTGTCACTCAGGCGTCTCAGCTACCATCCTCGGAGGCAGCGCTTCTTTTCACTCTAGAAAGGGTGGAAGTCTAAGCTCTCCACTCGGCCATATTTACTAGAGGTATAAATGGGGCTGTAGACTTTTCTGTGTTTTTTGAGCAAAGAGGCTACTGTCTAAAACGTTCTGTTTTGCTAGGCTGCCCTTTTCCTGGTCTTTGGACTAGAAAGAGCAGAATTTTCTTAGGGACTTCTTCTTCTTTTTAAAAAAATCTCTGCACCCACATGTATTTCCAGATTGCTAGCTTCTCCAGCACCATCCTAGAATATAAGAGGCAAAATCAAACCTAAGAGATCGTTCCTCAGATCTTGAGGTCCCTGCCTGGCTTGACTTCTTCTCTTTACCTTTCAGAGGATTCTTATATTTATGTATAATGCCCAGGGTTTTAAGAAGACAAGTAGAGAAAATGACTTTGGCACTGTTTTTCTGGAAGTGGAAGTCTCTGTCAACCTTTAGGTTTTTATGATGCTCCCGGACCCATCAGATCTATGTCACTGCCAAGTGGAAATTAATTATCACTGTCATGTTATTTTATATTTTGTCCAGGAAGACATTCCCTCCTTCGATGCATGGGTAGCATGGGCGTCTGCAGGACCGCTTGCAGGAAGATAGAACATACCTACTTCTACTGCAGAAATTACCAGTCGTGCTGTCTCCAGTCCTTCATGAGGATAAACGTGGCTGGCAAAGACGAACCTGGTGTTTTGTCCTACGCAAAGCACTGGCCCAAGATACCCTGAATGTTGGTGATCACCCTTCTCAAACTCTCTGGAAACCCAGACCTGCCGTCATTCCCCTTCATTAAAATTCATGCACCTGCCACCGTGGTCTGTCTTTCCTCCGTGGGAATTCTCAGCAAGGGACTTGAGCTTTGTGTGTCCCTTCTGGACTCAGCCCTGTGAGACAGCACCTGGACCAGGTAGTGAAGATGGGCGGGGGGAGGGGGAGAATGAAGCTGAGATCAATAAGGGAAGGTTGAAGGGTGCAGCCGAGCCAGGACTCAGAGGGCACTGGGACTCGTGGGATGGGTGGTAAGGCAGTAGGTGGAAATCTCGTGGACAAATTTGGGCTCAGTTTATGGAACTAAGAGAGAGCCAACGAATGTGGGATAAACTGTCCTGTCAAAGTTTCAGGTTGTGAGGTTGGGGGTTTGTTTGTTGGTTATCACTGAGGAATTTGAATATTACATGCGGTTGTCATTGGTGACTGCGGAAATCCTTTAAGTCCTAAAAAATCTAGGAGGCTATTACCCACCTTGACAACCAATGTTAGCGTTTCAACCAAAAGTTCTAATTTTGCTTTTTAAGTCTTATCTTCCACGAATCTTCTTTCTTTCTTCCTGTTGAGTTCTACGTTTTCAAAGCCACACTTCGCTCATTATCTTTCTCTACTTTTCTGATTCTTCAGAATTCATCACAATCGCTTTTTTTTTTTTTTTGCGGGGGGTGGGGAAGGTACTGGGGATTGAACTCAGGGGCACTCAACCACTGAGCCACATCTCCTGCCCTATTTTGAATTGTTTTTAGAGACAGGGTCTCACTGAGCTGTTTAGCACCTCACTATTCCTGAGGCTGGTTTTGAACTCGCAGTCCTCCTTCTTCAGCCTCCCAAGCCACTGGGATTACAGGTGTGCTCCCCGCCCCAAACCCTGTCCCCTGTGCCCGGCAGTATTATGTTTTGAAATGACTTTGCAATCAGTAGAGCTCGCTTCAGGGTACACAGTGTCACCAACCCATTTTCACATCTGTAACCAATACAGGTCCCCCAAATGCTCCTTCCAAATGCGACGTAAGCTCAACACCGTGCTCTGCAAACAGAGCTTGTGCCTGGCCAGCACTGTTCTCCTGTATTTAAGGAAGTGGCCGTTTCAGCATCTTGGGTTTAGACATTGAGTGGTGGGTTCATCCTTTGAGGATTACCTCCTTTTTTCCTTCCTTTGATGCTGCCACCCAGAACTTCACCCAACAAAGCTTAGGATCTGGAGAAAGATGCTAGTTCCGAATCTGTGTGGGGGAAAATGTAGGTCTAAGAACCTGGGCTGAACTTCTCACTGAAAACAATTTAAAATATACGATAAAACTTACAATAAAATAAAGTATACAATAAAACTGGTTAAAATATACAATAAAACTTCTTGAGCATCTTGACCTTGCAAGAAAACAAGATGAAGAATATTAAGGCCAGGTGAAGGCAGGCCCTCTTCTGAAGGCAGTCCCCGAATCCCACCTTTGTCTTGGAGGCATTTGGTGCATCAGGTGAACTTGAGGTTTGGACTTTGAGCAGGGAGGTGAGGGCACTGGAAAGGAGATGTTGCCTGGGGTTTGAAAAAATATGTCTAGTAGGAGACTCTGACATACATCTCAGTCCTGAAAGTGTTACATCCGCTGTGAAAGGATAAACCAGCTACATGGTCCTTCTTTACAAGATGTTATCAAGGAAAATTGCCTGGTTTGAATTTGGTGCTGGGTATACAGGTTAAAAAAAAAAAAACTCCATTGAAAATTTACAACCTCAAACTGGTCCTCATCTAGTTTCAGCTAGAATTTTTGGTACTTAAGTGGTTTGTTTTTTTCCACCTGTACAGAAGTATTTATGTAAGCATCTTTCATTATAGCCAAATGTACAATTAGAGGTGAATGAATGTACAATTAGAGGTGAATGAATGAACAAAATGTGGTATATCCATACAGTAGAATATTAGTCAACCATAAAAAGAAACGAAGTACTATAGATAGATGCTGTGACATGAATAAACCTTGAAAACATTATGCCAAGAAGCCAATCACAAAAGAATACATATTGTGTGATTCTATTTATGTGAAATATCCAAAATAGGCAAATCCATAGGAATAGAAAATAGATTAGAAGTTGACAGGGGCCAAATTGGGAAAGGAGTATAAAATTACTGCTAATGGGGTTTCTTTTATGGGAATGAAATATTCTAAAATTAGACTGTGGTAATGGTTGTACATCCTTGTGAATACCCTAAAAAACACTGAATTGTATACTTCAAATAAGTTAAATTTTTGTCATTGGAATTATATCTGAATAGATTATTTTGTTAATAAAATAAAATGGGAATAAAGTTTAACCTCCCCACATTTGGTTTTCTCACCATTATCAGCAGTATTTTCTATTTACCCTGCGCCCCACACCCTTTTTAACTGATGTTTACACAGTAACAGTTGTACTTTTTGTATTGGTGGAAAACCTGCAGAGTGACAAGTTATTTATATTTTAATAATCACCACAGTATCTTCAGAAATTTGCAGCCTAGAGGTACATGATATACAGGACATATGGTTATCCATCCTGTAGTCTGTGCATGGTGGCTGTGTGATTGTTCACAGGTGCATGGCAACAATTTTGAAAGCTACTAGGGATTTGGAGCCACTAAGTTGGGAACTACTTAATGATAACATCAGAAGTGAGATATAAATAATGGCTAGTATAGAAAATTATACCCTAATTATGTACTCTGAAAATTCAGCTCCTGAAGTGATCAGTTTCTTTTAAATACTGAAGACTGCTTGAAAATTCCACGTTAGAACTGATTTTTAAAATGTACTTATTTGGATTGCGGGTATAGCTCAGTGGCAGAGCTCATGCGTAGCATGTGTGAGGCCCTGGGTTCAGACCCCAGCACCCATCCCCAAAAGAGAAGAAGAAACATCATAGGGAAAAAAATCAGAAGTAAACTAAATGTCTAATGATGCCTAATTAAGTTTTGGATATATTTATCTGTTGAAAATTAGGCAGCAATTGAGTATTATAATTAAGAATTATAATTCTTGTAATCTAGCAATTTAAAAACAAGATATATTATCATGTATCTTTAAACATTTTTTTTAAATGGACACATACCTTTATTTATTTTTGCGTGGTGCTGAGGATCGAACCCAGTGCCTCACACATGCTAGGCAAGTGCTGTATCACTGACCACAACCCCAGTCCTCACCTGAGTGGTTTATAATTTAGCTTAACTTGTCCCATAGCCTCAAAGATGTCCTACAGAAGCAAATGAAAGGGTAGACATTGAACCCAAGACTCAGTCAAGTTAATTGGACAAAGTTCCAGGGAAAATGCGCAGATCAGGACCCTAAATGACAAAGCACATAAGGAAAGGGCACCATGAGTTAAGGCAGCAGGAACCATAGACCAGGGACGGAGACTTCCAAGGACTTTCAAGTATCGGAATTACCAGTTATAAGAGACAAGTTCAAAAACCTAAATTCACGAGACCTGAGTCTTCCATCATGAATTCCTATCTAACCTCTTGAATACTAAAGTCAGAGTTGCAAAGAAGCACTCCAACGTGAGGTGGAAATGTTATGTTCAAAACTGGGACTTAGCAGGCCTAGAAAACATGGACTGCAGAAGTGGCTGGTTCAGTGACCCATGGGACCATTTCCTGCTTTAATTGTACCTGCTTTGCCACACACCAATGACGTCCTGAGGAATTTCTAAGGTTAGCTAACAGAAGAGGAAAATAAATGTCAGGTTTGTTGACACTGAAAAAAGTAAGCCTGGCAATGTGACGCATGCCTGTAATCCCAGAGGCTCAGGAGGCTGAGATGGGAGGATTGCAAGTTCAAAGCCAGCCTCAGCAATGACAAGGCGTTAAGCAACTCAGGGAGACCCTGTCTCTAAACAAAATATAAAATAGGGCTGGGGATGTGGCTCCGTGGTTAAGTGGCCCTGAGTTCAATCTCTGGTCCCCACCACCCCCACCAAAAAAAAAAAAAAAAAAAAAAGGTTTGTTTTTGCTGTGTGACAACCTGGTGTGGAGGTGGCCCAGAGAGTCAGTGAGGAGATCCTTCCATCGAAGGAGGGAGGACTTGAGCATGGCTCTGTGGTTGATTCACAGGAGAGGACGTGGGTGGCAGGGTTGTCTAGGAACTTGGAGAGAGCAAGGTTAGAGGGTCTGTAGCAGTGAGGCTTGGATAGTTATATGCGTGGACCTTTCTGAAAGGGGGCAGACGGGAGGATATTTGCAGGCTATCAGAAGGGGACAAATAAGCTCTAAATAATGAGCTGGCAAATCACTCACCCTTCCACCCACAATTGGGGGCCCTTGGTACCCTTGGATGTCCATGTGTGACCAAGGATTGGTCAAGGAAATGGGCCCAGGGAGCCAGCCTTTCAATTGCTTCTATTCCAATCTTGAAGCAACTGGGGCTAATAAAGGAAATCTTATAACTTATACCCAGGGCAGCCAATTTCCTACAGCGAGAGAAAAAACAGGGCTTCAAGGCCAAGGTTAGTAGGAATTGGATGCTTTCATGTTGAAATATCTGCTGCTCGGTAAAGAAAGCTTTTGGCATCCTGGTGGCTGTTCTCATAAATGCAAAGACTTAGAATTCTGATAAAAATTCTGACCACTTATGCCATCACCCCTTTGGATGATAAGACTAACACAAGGAATGTGCCCTGGTGTCCCAAAACACTTGTTGGAAGGACAGAGGACACATGGAAATGTCAGTGTCAGAACTTAACTAAGTGATTAAGGCTATAGATAAGTCAGCAGCAAACGCTAGAGATGGGCTAAATCTTCTTGTGGAAATTACTCAATAATTCAAGAAGAATATTGAAGAATTTATAATTGGAAATCAGCTTCTTTGCACAGATGTGTTCATCTGGAATTACACCTGGGTGGGGCTGAGGGTGGATACCTGGTGTTTTCAATGCCTTCTGTACATGACACCGTCCATGGTTCTGAAGATGTGTGGGTGACATCTGA